CCAAACATTCACACGGAGCGCGACGTGGGCTATCAGCCACTGCATACTCCTGACACGTCCTAGCCTTATTGCCCCTATGGTTGCCCATGGAATTTTTGACAGTTGACGTTTAGGGACCCCCACTCTCTTCTCCCATCGCTTGAGCAGAGTCTGCGTCATGGAGTGATTCCGATTCCTCAACCTATAGCCTATTCTCGTAGTATAATGCAGTATATTTATTCTCCTTGCTACCCGTGTTTGACCCCTCCTAATGTTCCATGCCCATTCCACAGGGTCGACTTCAGTTCTTCAATTGGCACTGCCGAGTTGTAAATCGTGAAAACCTTTGTTTCTATCACCCTCACTTTCCGTAAATACTGTTTAAGGATGTATAACGGTGCTTTGGACATCAAATCCAGTTGGGACGTAGTATTGGAAGGATAGACTATGTCATACTTATCCGCTAGTAGCCAGTCGGGTCTGGAAGTTTCTATACCCCATACTCTGAAGACCTCCTTTGGTTTGTTGTCCTCCTCCCATGTTGCCCAGTCCCCCATACCCCATGGCTTTCCTGACAGTAGCAGCTGCTTCCATGTTTGTGGTATGGCTCCCTGTACCAATCTCAGATTTTCAGGTGGTTTGTGACATCCTTTCAGTTGTCTCCTTAGTTCTGTGGCTGTTTTCCACCTCCTTTCCCCTTCATCCCAAATATGTTTTACCTGCCATACTCCATGCTCCAACCATCTTCCCCACCTTGTGTCAGACACCGAAAGCGTCAGCGGTTTTCCTTGTCCATCCTTAATGCTTGCAATGCAGAATAATGGCGGCCTAAGCACTTCCTCCCTTGTTGTAGGTTCTTTAACTCTTGCGGGGAAAACCTCCTTCCATAACTTTATGAGTTGCACCCAATAAGAAAGGTTCCGAACTTCGTCATCTTGCATTGCATTATTGCCCTCCCTGGTACCTAGCTTTGCCCAATTTCCACACATGATCCAGAACTGGCCCGTCATATTACTTGGCGTATTGTACCTTGCTATTTGTCTTATCCTTTCTAACACCAATGATGTCCATGATAACCTTGGTTGCGAAATTAGCTTTGTGACCCATTTGGTTTGAAGTGTTTTCAGCTGAGTGTCTGGATCCAGCACGCCAAGGCCACCCTGTTGCTTGGGTCTGATAGCATGTTTCCAAGCTACCTTAGATATGAAGTGGTTGGTGTTCGGTTTGGCTGTCCATAGATACGCTGCTGCCCTTCTTCTTAATAGGACCGTCGTCGGTTTTGGCGGAGACCAAATTGATCCAGCATACCAGAACATGGAGAAGATGGATGCGTTAAGTATAAGTGCCCTACCGTATATTGATGTATACACTGCTGACCATGCTCCCAGTTTCGCCATCATGTTTGACATCAGGTCCGCTGCCATGGAATAATGTGTTCCACCTTCTGTTATTTTGATGCCTAGATATCTAAGCGGAACTGTAGCTGTCATCCACTGGAGGCCCTCCAGACTATTAAGTGGGAGTGTGTGTTCGTGCTGTTGTTCTGTCAGCCACCATCCAATTGTTTTTTGGCAATTGACCTTCAATTCTGACGCTAGCTGGAAGGCTTCCATTGCCCTTGTTAACGCCTGAAAGGAGGAGTCTGATGCTCTGATAAGCACTGTTAAGTTGTCCGCGAATAGGATAGTAGTCGGGAGATATACCATGTGTCCCTGTTGATCCGGTGGTGCTATCAGCCTCTGGATCGATGGATCTTTCCTCATAAAGGAGGCTACTGCCTCCATTATGAAAAGGAAAATGGGTGCTGCCAGGGGGTCCGCCTGTCTAACTGACCTCGACATCGCGTAGATTGGAGAGAAATGCCCATTAACCTGTACCTGCCCCTGTGCATGGTTATAAAGAACGCTTACCCACTTACAAAAATTCGGGCCCACCCCCATCCTTTCCATGCATTGTTGCAGGAATGGCCAGCTGACCAGATCGTAAGCCTTTCCGAAGTCAAAAAACAATATCGCTGCATTAATTCTCCTATCCCTTATGTACCTGACTGTTTCTGTGAGAGTCGTAACATTATCCAAAATGAACCTTCCCGGAATGAAACCCGTTTGATCTATATGAAAACAGCTGGCTGTAATAGCCGATAGACGGTTGGCTAGTGCCTTGGCTACTATCTTGTGCGTGAGGGTTAGCAGGGTTATTGGCCTATAGTTGCGTATGTCTGACGGGCTTCCTTTCTTATAGAGAAGCGTAACTATCCCTGTTGCTGACTCCTGCCCTATTCCTTCAGCCTGCCATGCATGCTCTAGAAAGGCTAAGTATTCGTCTCCCAGAATTGGCCAGAACTCCATCCAAAATTCCCTGGTGAGACCGTCTATTCTTGGGGTTTTGTTTTTGGCCATGGAGCGTAATGCTTCCCACAACTCCTCCTGTGTTAGAGGAGCGTCCAATCTTGCTGCGTGAGGCGGCGAAATTGTATTCTGCAGATGATTCAGGAATTTGGACCGTGCTTCTATCACCTGTTCCCTTGAGTAGTCGCACTCTCTCGATCTATACAAATTGCTGTAGAAATCAAAGGCTATCCCGAGCATTCCTTCTTTGTCTGAGGTTGCCCCTCCTGGTCCGTCAAGTTTGGCTATGAGATTGTTCCTCTCTCTGGATTTTATTTTTTGAAAAAAGAACTTAGTCATTCGTTCCCCTTCCTCCCATTCCCTGACTCTAGCCCTCATTTGCAGCCCCCTTGCCCTCCATCGCTGCCATTCCGCCATTTCTTCTCTTGCTGCGTCAAGCGCTCATTCATAAATTCCGTTTCCTGGAGTATTAATAATGTTGCGTTCTGCTAGTTTTATTGCTTGCTGTAATTCTAGCTCCCTTTCCTTTCTTCTAGCAGCCAACCGGCGGGTGACCCCTGCTGAGGCTTTGGATAGTGCTAGTACCAGCTCGGGAAAGGATTGTGTATTGGGATTATAATCTTGACGCACCTGAAGCACTGCCCCCCTCATTTCCTGCGTACTTAACAACGAATTGTTTAGTTTATAGAACCCCTTACCTCTTTTGACTTGCTTATCTGTTACCAGGTGTAGGTGAACCGGCTTGTGGTCTAATCCCGTCCCATAGGGTAAGTATCCTATACTTACTGCTTGTAACATGCCTATTATACCTGGTGAAATTAAGTAGTAGTCTATTCTTGAAGCCGACACATGTTGACTGCGGTTCTTCTTTAAGTAAGTGAACTGTCTTTCTTCCGGGAAAAGGAGCCTGTAAGGATCCACCAGATCTGTATATGTCATCAAACTATGAATAGGTAAAGCTGTGTCTGACAATCCCTCATCCCACGATCTAACTCCTCCCGATAATCTATCTAAGTTAGGGTCTAATGCGGCGTTCCAGTTCCCTGCTAATATTAAGTGTCTGTTTGCTTCCAAAATTTCGTGGAGGCGATCTATAAACTCTACTCTATGTTGGAAAGCATTAGGACTGTATACTGAAACTAACGTGTAAGGCTCGTCATGTAGTTCAAAGTTGACCTTTACCCACCTCCCTTCTACTTCATCTACCGATGCACTACTAATGTGAATGTTGTTTGCTGCTGCTGATCCTTCGTTCTGAATTATGGCGACTCCTGTCGAATGATGAGTAACTGCTGGTGCCCACCAAGCCTCCTTTACTCTCTGAAGCCTCTGTATTATCCTATTTTTAATATTCTGATGCTCCATTGATTCTTTCAGATGCGTTTCCTGAATACAAATAAAGTCCGGTGGAGAGGGGGCGAACCAATCCGTATAATTTAACACGTTCTGCCATTTATCATGATTTTCCAAAATCCCTACCATCCCGTTTAAATTCCAAGAAGTTATCTTAACTTCTGGCTGCGTTATGTTCCTTTGATCCATCCTTGGCAGCTTCCTAGGTCTGCCTGACTCCCCTTCCTCCATGAGACCGTTATGCTTGTGCTATGCCTGTGCTTGACTTGCCTCTACTTGACTACCCCTTGATTTATGTTCCTTGTGAGGTAGTTTCTAATATCGTAGACACCAGTGATATTCTTTTTTCCAGGAATTCCGGCTTCCAAGCGAACGCCTCAACCCTCACCGCTACTGCCGCGCACCGAGCTACCCATTCCGCTGTAACATCGCCTCCCAGCAACCCGTACAGAATGGTTTCAACCACCTGCCAAGGCATCGAAATCAGTCCCTCCCTGAGTTCAGACTTGGCCTGACGGCATTGATTACTTCTCGTCGGAAGGATGTACCAGCCCTCACCCCTGCCTAAGTTAGCCTACTTTCTTGCGTTTGGTTGCTAATACCTGGAACTTGCTTGGATGGGTCTCGTCTCGCCTGTTCCTCTCAGCCCTTTGACTGCCTGATTGACCTTAAGTACTAGAACTGCAGACTTGTCCCTCCTCTTTGAGTTAACATGGCCCTATACCTTCTCCTTTCTAGTTTCTACTGTCTATGATTGCTTATAAACCTTGACCTATCTTTTTTAAACTTTCCCTTTTATCAGTTCTAACTAGTGCTAAAACCCTAAACCCTATCCAATTTAGCTTGGCCGGTGACTACATGTTAGACCTCTCCACTTGAGATTTGTGAAATTGTGACCCTTATCCTGAATTTTCTCTCTTTAGTAAATATACTAAATAGTACTGCCGTTATGGAAACTGCAAGTAGGGTGGACGTGGTATTAGGCTGCTGGGTTGGGAAGAGCTTGTGTGTGTAGGTGCAAGGTTATCATCTAATTCTCCTTCATGCTGAAAAACTTGTATTTCCATGAATGATCCTCTCTCACCTACTACCAGTCCTTCGGTATTAGGAACCCCCTCTTGAATGTTCAAAGTCTTCCATGAGCCAAGCTTTGCAAAAGTCCTCTCAAGAAGTGGTCATTTCTGTCACCATTTTTATCTTATATCAGTTTTCATGATGTCTATGGCTTCTTGCCAGCCCTTTGGTAAAGATTTCGTTTTTTTGGAAAGCCACAACCTCAATTCGCCGTGTGGATCTTTTCCTTTGTCTGTTCATCTGCAGCGGCGATTGCTCTGGCTTTGGTAGGGGGAGTGCAAAAGCATGTGGGTGACAATGACAGGGTTCCTGTCAGAGGAGATCTTCATGTCTTGGTTGTTGGTGAGGAATATGTAGCCTCCTACTGTAACCATGCTTGTTGTTTTCTTTCTTTTGTGTGTGTGTGTGTGTGTGTGTGTGTGTGTGTGTGTGTGTGTGAGAGAGAGAGAGAGAGAGAGAGAGAGAGAGAGAGAGAGAGAGANGAGAGAGAGAGAGAGAGAGAGAGAGAGAGAGAGAGAGAGAGAGAGAGAGAGAGAGAGAGAGATTGGTGGAGAGCCATTGCAATGAAACTTGGCCACAGCATCCCATGAAGCAGACATCACATAAGCAACTGAAAGGATAGACCCATATGCCGAGAATGACCACATGGGAGAGGTGACGAGGAATTCAGGCACCAACCTTTTTCACTCCCTTCTCGTCTTCCTCTTTCGCCAACCGCATGAGCAGTTTTTCGTGTGCAAAATTGCAAATCCATCCCCCTAGAGGTTTTAAATTGACAGGTGTTTGCAGAACAGTTCCTCCTGAGGGGCTCACATTATAGCCTTGCTCTGTCTTTCTTCCACTACCAGGCAACCTATCTCACAATGTTTCTCTAATGACCTACACGCCCTGCTGTTCCCTACCCTGGCAACCAAGCATAAAGTGCTTCTCTCCCTGGCCTACACCCAAGTACTTCCAGTCAGAAGTCACTTGTAGGGATCCTCTTTCACCATAGCCAGAGCACAAGCTTGAGGCACAGGAGGCAAGCACCATCAAGGACATAAGACAGGGCCAATGAGTTGTCAGTTTGAACTGCTCTCAGGTTACTCAGTTTGGAACCTGCCAAACTGGAGTTAGTGGTTAGGCAGTTTCCTCAGTCTGGAGTTAGGCAACAAGTTACCAGTTAGGTGGACTGGCAGGTTCCTTAGTTTGGAATCTGTCAACCGTAGTTTGCAGTTAGGCAGCCTTAGTTTGGAACCTGCCAACCGTAGTTTGCAGTTAGACATCTTCCTCGGTTTGGAGTTGGTTAGTAACTTAATAGTAAGTAACCAGTTTGGCAAACTGGCAAGTTCCTCAGTTTGAAAGCTGCCTAACTACAGTTAGCAGTTAGCCAGTTTCCTCAGTTTGGAGGTTGAGCAATGAACTAGTAGTTAGGGAGACTTGCAGGTTCCTCAGTTTGGGACCTGCAAAATTGAAGTTAGCGTGCGAGGTCGAGGAACAATGAGTTCAGCTGAGCCTTTCTTGGGGCCTTGTTGTCATGTGAAAAGACAAACCTTGACTGGTTACTAGAAATACGAAATATCTGCAGTGCCCAGCCAAGGAGCTGAATGGTACACACATGCAACTGTGAATCAACAGGTCATGTGTTTGAATCATACTTGCGGCCCACTGCTGTGCTGCGGCATGCGCTGCGCCATGCACGTCCCCGCCATGCGGGATGCGCTGCAGGGGTCCAAGGTTCGTTCTAACGAGCGTGAGGCTGAGGGTGAGCCGAGGGAGAGGAGAGAGAGGGAGAGAGTGAGAGCACACACACACACTCACTCACTCGACACGACGGACTCTGACCGAGGATCGGACGCAGACACAGTGGCAAGTCACAAAGTCGAAGTCTTGGATTCCGAATGCCGAAACAGCAAGTCACACTGAGTACGAGTACAGCAGCAGAGAACTGGTACGAGACTGGTCCCCGTACCGTACGGGGAGCCGGTATAAGTACTGGTGACACGTACGGTACCAGGGGCATTTCTGCAAAGGCCCCGAGGGCAGAACTGAAAAATGCAGTATTTGAAAGTGGCG